CCCCGCAAAACACTGCTCACATGAAATGCAAATCTCCGCTAGAAGACCCAGGTTCCCTTCTCAGACGGGCAAAGATAAAAAAAAAAAAAAATTAGACAGCTAGGCGTGGTGGCGCAGGCCTGTAATCCCAGCAAATCAGGAGGATGAGGGCCAGGATGACGTCTGAGTCCAGCCTCAGCAAATTAGTGGGCCCTAAGCAATTTAGTGAGATCCTGTCTCAAAATAAAAAATAAAAAAGGGACTATAGTCCCCGGGTTCAATCCCTAGTATAATAATAATAATAATAATAATAATAGAAAAAGACAATAGTCTGTGTCAGCTATTTTGAAAAGGAGCCCTCAATTCCTGCTTGAAATATAATTTAGTTTAACCTTTTTGGAAGACATTTAGACCTGGAGTGCAAAAATATGTGTATAAGCCATTTATTGAAAATTCCATGTTATTTGTAGTATCAAAAGAAAATTGTAATCTAACCTAAATGCCCATCACGAGTCCCTTTGTGGGATAGTTGTGTGGTTCTGGCATAATCCATGCTCTAAAAAGGGTGCAGCTCCAATGCTTGTGATACCAGCCATTCAGGAGTCTGAAGCAGGAGGATCAGCAAGTTCAAAGCCAGCCTCAGCAACTTAGTGAAGCCCAAAGCAATTTAGTGAGACCCTGACTCAAAATAAAAAATAAAAATGTCTACAGATGTAGCTCAGTGGTTAAGTGTCCCTGGGTTCAATCTACAGTACCAAAATAAAATAAAAAGGGCTGTGGATGTAACTCAATGGTAAAGCCTCCTGGGTTCAATCCTTGGTACCCCCCCTCAAAAAAAAAAAAAAAAAGACACTGGGAAAAATAGTACTGAAGGTTTTTCTTTGGTTGTTGATTGTAAGTCACATTTTCAGTTTTGCTTTTCATGGTGGATTGGCATCTGTAGAAAATGCAGATGTCGCAGGTGTGGTGGCCCAAGCCCAGCAGCTCCAGAGGCTGAGGTAGGAGGATAGCAAGTTCAAAGCCAGCCTCAATGGGCTGGGGTTATTGCTCAGTGGCCGAGTGCTTGCCTAGCATGTGCGAGGCACTGGGTCCGAGCCTCAGCGCCACATATAAATAAATAAAGGTATTGTGTCCCTCTACAACGAAAAATTTAAAACAACAACAACAAAAAGGCCAGCCTCAAACTTAGCGAGGCCATAAGCAATTTGGCGAGACCCTATCTCAAAAAATAAAAAGGCCTGGGGTGTGGCTTAATGGTTAAGTGTCCCTGGGTTTAATCCCTGGTAGGAAAGCAGGAAAGAAAAGGAGGGAGAGGGAAAGAAAATGCAAATGTCTGTTCAGATTTATCTTCCTTCCAGAGCCTTGTCTGGTCACATAAAATAGTCCAGGACCCCTCTCCAAAACAACTGATTGATTTTCACCCCCATGAAAGGTCCCCGGGAGGCGCTTCGGCCAGCAGAGGACGCCAGAGGTCCGCGACCAGGACAGTGGGGCAGACCTGGGGCAGGAGCAACTCGGCGAGACCCTCTCCCAGAATAAAATAAAGGGCTGGGCATGTGGCTCAGGGCCTCAATTCCTGGTAAATAAACAAACAAAGAAATAAAAATAAAAACAAAAAAAGTCACTTCGGCTTCCCCTGCAAGAAGGGCCACGCCCTCGCCCTCGCGCAGACCCGCCGCTCGGGGAGCTGGCCCCGCCCCCGGGAGGGCGGGGCTCACGGGGTGGAGTCCCTCCGACCTGTGCTGAGCCCAGGAGGGTGCTGCTCCGCCTCCTGATCCGCCTGGGTCCCCACGCCCTCCCTCCCCAGCGCAGGTGCTGGAACCCTTGGGGGGAAATGGAAAACGAGGCAGTGGGTGCTTGGAGCTTGTGGGGGCCCGTGGCTGGTTTACCCTTCCCCAAATCCTCACGTGAGGGGAGCCACTTTGTGACCCAGCTAGGAAAAGGTGGGGTTTGAAATCATTCAACAAACACCTGATTGAGGCTCCGCTACCTGCTACCTGCTTTGAAGATAACAGAATAGGATAATTGGGTAGAAACTGGGTGCTGAGGTGGGGTGGGGTCTTGCTTTAGCGAAACTCCCTGGAGGAGGTGACTTAGTAACTAACTCTCCTCCCGCTCTTCACTCTCTCCCTCCCTCCCTCCCTTCTTTCTTCTTTCGAGGTTTTGGAACTCAAACCCAGGGCCTCGCACATATTAAGTGTGTGTGCTCATGTGTCCTCAGTTATATCATTCACACCTAACGGGGTTGGATTATCTGTGTACAGTTTAAAGATTAATAATAGGCTAGGGGTGTGGCTCAGTGATAAAGCACCCGCCTCCTGTGTACAGGCCCCTGGGTTCAGTCTCCAGAACTTCCAAAAAGAAAGAGAGAGACACTAATAATAAAGATGCTTCCCTGATTGGAAAACAGAACATCACCAGAATTCTAAACCTCCCGTGCAACCTCTTTTTAGCTCCTCCTTTCCCAGCCTAACCCCATTCAGAATTTTGTATTAAACATTTCCTAGTTTGCTTTTTTAGTTTGAGACAGAGTTGCTTAGGGCCTTGTTAAATTTCTGAGGCTAGCTTTGAACTAGTATCTTCCTGCCTCAGCTCCAGATCTCTGCTTTTCTTTATAGTTGTACTGCCTGTGTATGTGTGGATCCCTAAATAATTCGGGGGTGAGTGTGCCGGCATTTGGCCCACATGTAAATCCAGCCATCTGTGATGCATTGGTTTCTAACTTCTTTTGTTCAACATTATGTTTTTGAGATTCATCTCTGTTGTTGCATGGAGTTGTAGTTCATGTGTAATTCATCTTTATGGGTAGAATTCTTTTGTAGGATTGCATTACAGTTTTTTTTATACACATATTTTTAGATGTTGATGGACCTTTATTATTTATTATAGGTGGTGCTGAGACTCAAATCCAGTGCCTCACACAGGCTAGGCAAGCGCTCCACCACTGAGCCACAAACCCAGCCCCTTCCAGTTTTCTTAATCCACTCTTCTGTTGATACACATTTGGGTGGTATCCATTTCTTTTCTTTTAAAATAGGACCAAGGGTACAATGACCCTTCTCTTGTTTGGTCTGGTTTGGGGCTGGGCAGCAGTTCTTAACTTTGGCTGCTCTTTAGAAGAATCAGGGAGATGTTTCAAAATGCTCATGCCAGAAGCCCCACCCCCAGATAATCAAATCAGGATGTGGGGGTGGGGTGGGGTGGGGCCCAGGCTTAAGTATTTTTAAACACTCTGTAGGGAAATCTACTGTGCGCCAGCCAGGGCTGAGAACCCCTGGGAGGCCCCCGTTGCTGGGAGAGGAGTCACCTGTTACTGAGGTCAAACTTTTCCCAAGTAGTTGTGCTACTGGCTAGCCCTCACATCCTCATCAACACTTGATATTGACCAAATTTTTGCTTTTTGTCCTTCTGGTGAGTGTGAAATGACATCTCACTGTGGTTTCCATTTGCATTTCTCTCATTACTAATGAGGGTGACTGCTTAGTGAAATTGCTGCTGGAACAAAGAATGAAAGAAAAGGTAGCCAGGTGAAGATCTATGGGAGAGAGATTTGGTGAGAAGGGAGGTTGAACAGCAGGTGCCAAGGTCCTGTGGTGGGAAAGGGCTGGGATATGGGAGGAACAGAAGGAGGTTGGGTGAAATCATTGTTGCACAGGGGAGGAAGAGAGCTGAAGAGAAGGTGAGCAGGGATTGGATCAGCAGGACCGAGCTGTCATGGCAAGGATTTGGGCTTTTCCTCTGAGTGAGGGTTGTGGTGGTGGGGGCAGTCTGCTGCTCCCTCTGGCTCCAAGTGGAGACTCCTGTGGAACTGAAGGGCTGTGGAGGGCGATGTGTTCTGCATCCCTCACCAGTCAGAGGAGGGAGGATGATTTCTTCTCAGTTGCTATCCCAGCACCTAGTGACACTTGTCCTGCCTGTCTTCTTGTTGGTGTGGGGAAGACTTAGAGGTTGTCATGATTCTGCCTTCCAAGGGAAAACCAGTACCATGGGCCTTGGGATTTGTTTCTGTGGCCACCCCAGGGCCTGACACACCTCACAGGGGAGCTGGAACCCAAGTACAGCTCTCCCTCACCTGGGCCCATCCCACATGCCAATCAGACAGTGTCCTCTGTGGAGCTGTCTTGGATCCTTCAGACACGGGGCCTCTGATTCTCAGGTGAAGGGACTTGCCTCTGCCCTAGGCTTGCTGCTGTCTCTCGGCTTGCCCACGGCCATCTTTCCCAATGAAACTCTAAACAGGTCCCTCCTCCGCTGCAAATCCTTCCTTGGCTCCCCAGTGCCCTTGAGGCAAAGTCCAAACTACTCCGAAGCCCTGGAGGCGGGCAAATCTGATTCCTCCCACCCCCGGGAGCAGCGCTCAGTGGCTCTGCAGTAGTTACTGATTCTTACCTCAGGCCTTCCCCCTCCAAATTTCTTCACTTCCTCTGGAAAGTCGCGCGCCTCCACCCCGTCAGGTGACCAGCCTCTAGACTGTCACAGCGTCCTGTCTCTCCCCCAGCCCCCCTCCATCTAGCCCACCTCCCTTTGCGTTATAATCCTCTGTTTACTTCGTCTGTCTCCCCCGCCGACCGACCCAGGAGCTCCCCTTGGGGAGAGACCCTGGTGCAGCCGCAGCGGACTCCAGGGACAGTGCCTGGCTCCTAGAGGGCGAAGTGCAGGGACGAGCGCATTTTGGCCACACGATGCCAGACTGCTTTGCAAAAAGCCGGTGGCCCTTCACGTTGCCAGCAGCCACGGCGAGGGCCGGTTTCCTCGCATCCGCCCCAGCAGTGTGCACTGTCTCTCGTCTACGCCACGCTGTTTGCGAGGTGCCGGCAGGAGGAGGACCTCTCCGCCCGCTTCCAGAGCCCGGGGCGCGGGCAGGTTCGGAAGGTCGGGTATTGGGGTCCCAGGCACCAGAGGCGCTCACACGCGGGGCGCTGAGTCGGCGAGCACCGGGCGTCCCGCCCCGACAGCCTGCCTCGGAGGAGTGGAACCAGCCCGGAGCCGGGCTCCCAGCGCCACGCGGCGCGAACCCAGCCCGTCCCCCGAGCACCTGCTTGGGGCGTGGCCTTTGGTGGATGCGCGCCTCCGATTGGTGCGGCGTTGACAAAGGGGCGTGGCGCTAGTGGCCCCGCCCCGAGGCTGGGGTATTTAAAGGAGGCAGCGGGCTTCTTCACTCACAGCGCCGCTGCACGGCCTCGCGGGTGGTGTTCCCTGCGGCCCCTGCGCGACCCGGCGACCCCGGCTGCTTCAGCCACCATGCCGCGCTCTTTCCTCGTCAGGAAGCCCTCGGTCCCTCGCCGGAAGCCCAATTACAGCGAGCTGCAAGACTCTTCTCCCGGTGAGCAGAAATGCTGGACCCAGAGAGGGATTCGGGAGACGCAGGCGTGGGGGGCCTCTGAGGGAGAGGTCCTGGGACCACACCGAGTCAAGGGATGTCCTGTGGAGAAAGGCCAGGGCTCCGGAGATGTGGGGCAGGTGGATCTGGAGCCTCGGATCTTGGCGGTTGGGTGGAGGGCTGTGCTGTGGGCACTGGAGACTTCGTGGGGGGCGAGAGGCAGAGAAGCTCCGCGAGTGTAGACAGGAGAGAAGGCTGTGCCAGGAGAGTCCTCTGGCCAGTGACTATGAAGAGTCCGGAGTCCAGAGGGTTGGGGGAGGGGTGGAAAGAGAGGTGTAGAAGGGGGATCTGCAGGTAGCTGGGCTGAGACCAGGCCTGGGGGTCTTACTTTGGGCTGGGGACCTGGGGGACACAGGAAATGGGAGGCCTGGGAATGGCCCCCTCGAGCTGGGCTGGGAAGTCGGGGGTCTGTCTTATAGGAGACACAGGTGTGGTGTCCTGGGTGAGCAAGGGCGTGGGAGGGCAGGAACGGCCTCTGTCCTTAGTTGTGGCCCTCAGTGGGCTGATGTTTGTTGACAGATTGAAAGTTTCATTGAAGCCTGACCCTGTCCCTCTCTGTCTTCCTCAGAGCTCACCTTCCAGCAGCCCTACGACCAGGCCCACCTGCTGGCTGCCATCCCGCCTCCTGAGGTCCTCAACCCCACCGCCTCGCTGCCCACCCTCATCTGGGACTGTCTCCTAGCGCCCCACACGCAGCCCATTAGCTGGGCCTCCCTGCAGCCCCAGGAGAACCCCCAGGCAGCAGAGCTGACCTCCCTGTCTGATGAGGACAGTGGGAAGGGCTCGCAGCCCCCCAGCCCACCCTCTCCAGCTCCTTCCTCCTTCTCTTCCACCTCCGCTTCTTCCCTGGAGGCTGAGGCCTACATTGCCTTCCCAGGCTTGGGCCAACTGCCCAAGCAACTGGCTCTGCTCTCCGTGGCCAAGGACCCCCAGTCTCGCAAGGCTTTCAACTGCAAGTACTGCAACAAGGAATACCTCAGCCTGGGCGCCCTCAAGATGCACATTCGGAGTCACACTCTCCCCTGTGTCTGCGCAACCTGTGGGAAGGCCTTCTCCAGGCCCTGGCTGCTGCAGGGCCATGTCCGGACCCACACTGGTAAGTAGCCCTGCAGGTTACTGCCCCTCTCAAGTCCACGCCTTCTGATCGGCTTTTGTGATTCTGAGCTGCTGTTCTCCTTTTCGTTTTAATTCTTTTTTTTTTTTTTTAATTTGACATCAAGGAAACTAAGGCTCTAACTTAGTTCAAGTTCAGGGACCTGGCCCTTTGGAAATGTTTGGCAGAAGCATTCATCAGCTAAGCGGATGGGCAGGTTCTTCTGCAGTTTCTTAGCTAAATATTTTGGAGCTGGATATGGGAAAAATGCACCCAACACCTTGCTATTATGGCCAGGTGTGAAGGGACCCACCCTGCTCCTCCTTCCACAAACCACCCTGCCCCAGTCAGACAGGACGTTGTCAGTACCCCCCACCACTACCCTAAATCCTGTCTGAGAACTTCCTCAAACTTTCCATGATGTTTCACCTCTCTGATCCTTAGTTTTCTCATCTCTAAAATGGGCATGAGTATACCCATTTTACCTTGTGGGGTATCTGTATAGGTTAAATGAAAGAATGCCTGTGGAAAGAGCAAAGCGCTTGGTGCATGATAAGCTCTCAGAAAAATGGTAGTTGGTATTTTCTTTGCTTCTATGCTGTGTGACCTTGGTTAAGCAATTTAACCTCTCTGAGCCTTAGGATTATGATAGCACATGCTTTGTAGGGTAGCTATTAAGATTGCTAATCACTTTATAATAATGGTTTATAATTATGGTTCTTAGGTCTGTTTTCCTCACCCTGAGTCAATTCCACCATGCAGATCAGGGAACAACTTTGCTGATAAAAAACACAATCCCTTCAAAAAAAAAAAACAATACAGAATACAGAGTGCTGGGCGTGGTGGCAGACACCTTAATCCCAGCTGCTTGGGAGGCTGAGGCAGGAGGATCATAAGTTTTAAGGCCAGCCTAATCAACTTGGTGAGGCCATGATTAAAAATAAAAAACAGCTGGTACATAGTTCAGTGGCAGTAGCCTGCATGAGTTCCTGGGATTTGGTCCTCAGTGCCGCAAAAAACACAATACTTCAACATGGAAAACTTCCCAGAAACGAGGAAAGGGCAGGCACCCTTCCTTTTCAGATCTTGAATGGTGGAGGTTGATGTGTTTGGGGGTGATCCTTGGAGGGTAACTTGAGAGGAAGTTCAAAGGTCATGAGAGCATTGGGATCAAGCTGGCCAGGTTGGAGGCTGAGCTCTGTCATTTCCTGTCCTGGTGGCTGACCTTCAACAGTGAGGGTGTGTGTGGGGGGGTGGTCTGGGGGAGCCTGTCCCTTTGCAGGGCTCCTTAGCGACTGTTTCTCTCTGTGCACCAATTGTCCTGATTTTAACATGTAAAGGTTCAACTGCTGCCTTTTCTCCTGGTGCCTGCCTAGCTAATGGGGGCGCTATTTTGGGGGTGTTGAGGCCCTCAGGATGCTCTCCGGGAGCCTCCAGCCCCCCTGTCCCACCGGACATTTTAATGTAAAGGCCTGGCTCAGACACAAAAGGCCGTTGAAATGCACCTCGCTGTCCTGGAGGACCCCATTGTGTGCCTCCATGGTGGGCCCAGTGGGTGGGTGGGAGGGGCGGAGCAGGTGCACGGGGCAGTGGTGCCCAGCACCTGTTCCCGCCGCAGCTGCTGGCCCATGGTGTGGCAGGCCCCCTTAATCCCGGGGGTATCGCATGTACAGTGCCCCCCTCAGCAGCCTTTGTCCCCGCCAGCCTGGTGCCGATTTCACACTTGCCGGAGCGCCATAAAGGCGTCTGGAGACGGGCGGGGGTGGGGGGTGGTGTCTGAGGGGGTCCTGTGGTGCACACGGACCCGCCACACCCCTTCACACCCTAAAAGATCCCTTCCTCCTTGGTTGAGCACTAACTGGGGGATGGGGTCCTGGTCCCCAGCTCACTGATGGGCTCCGTCACCTTCTCGTCCCCCTGGTCCTCTCCTAGTTCTCAGGGTGTGAATGAGGAAGAGCTTCACTGGGACCTGGGAGAAGGCCACCATCAGACCCTTCGGGCGGCCCCAGGGCTAGTTCAGTAGTGGCAGTGGCGGGTGCAGCCCCCATCTCGAGTTCTCTCCTCCCCTCCCCTTGTGTGGTCCTGTGGGGCGGAGCCTGCTCTTAGCTGCCCAGTGGCAACCTGTTGAGTGGGTGGGGCCCCTGGAACCTGTCCTGGCCGCCCTCCCCTCCCAGCAAGGACCCAGCAGAGCACTCAGTAGGTGACGGGATTCATACACTCTGAGTTTTTCTTGAATGCCATCATTGGAATTTGATAGGTCATGGCCTGTGGGCATATCAGGCTGGGGCTGGGAGCTAGAGAATCCCGTTCTTTTTTGTTTAATGAATTAGCCTTAGGACTTTTTATTTGGAAAAGCTATATGCCTAAGGAAAAACAAAATGTCACTGTTTTGGAAACTATATCCTCTTGGTGGGGCAGGGATTGTGAAAAGGCATTATCTGGTGATTGAGGGGTCAAGCTTCTTTGATTCCTTTTATTAAAAGCAGGTTTATTTATTCTACATGCATTTATTGAGCACCTACTTAATCCTGAGGGGTATCACCTCCTGTGCAAGACTTCCTACCACATCTTTGGCCAGGGAGGTGGAGTGTCTGGGCTGCGGGTTTCTGTAGCCTCATCTGGGAATGCACTCAAGGGAGGCCTCTGCCCTCTGCGACTCAGCCTGGTGGGGGGCGGATAGTCCAGTAGCATTGTGATGAGGGAAGTGGGCTCAGTGGCTCATGCCTGTGATCCCAGCAAGAGACAGGAGCATCGCAAGTTCAAGGCCAGCCTCAGCAATTTAGCTAAAAGGGTCTCAAAATAAATAAACAAGGGCTGAGGATGTAGCTCATTGGCAAAGCACAGAAGGGTTAGACCTCAGCGCAAAACCAAACCAGAGGGTGGCCGAGCAGCGCTGAGGTAAGCCTCCTAAGCTGCCTCTTCTCTCTCTTCTTTCCGTGTGCACGAGTGTGAGTGTGTGTGCACATGTGGATGAGTGTGTATGCACACGTGGGATTGGGAACTGAACCCGGGGATGCTCTGCCCCTGAGCTTTTTTTAGTTCACTTTGAGACGGGGTGTCGTTAAGTTGTCCAGGCTGCCTTCAGACTTGTGATTCTCCTGCCTCAGCCTCCCGAGTAGTCTTAGGCCAGCTCTTAAGCTTTGTCCCCAGTATAGATTAAGTTTTGACTCCAGGATTAGTAAAAAGCTTCTCCTGACCAAGAGCAGTATGTGCATTGGTCAAAATCCAGGGCTTGGGAGCCCTGCAGGGTGACCGCCAAAATGCTCCTTAACTTTTGGGCCTCAGTTGCACCAGCTTTAATATGAGGACCACAGAAGGATCAAAGTGTTGAGTCTTGATCTGTTGAGCGTTTCCCAGGTCCCTGGCGATGGGAAGAGCACGTGGTCGTCCTGCTTCTCTGGGTTACCAACCCCGTGAGTGGGAGCGAGCCCCATTTTACAGATGAGAGGAGGCTCAGAGCAGCCAGAATCCTGCTCCGGGTCCCTCAGGAAAGCCACCGTCTCCCTGCAGGCCTCTGGGCCCAATCTGCGGGCAGCCAGGACCCTTTCAGGGTGGTGTGGGGCGGGCCCTTCAGGAAAGGCCCAGCCGCCCAGCGTGACTCCCTCTGTCTCCCCCAGGTGAGAAGCCCTTCTCCTGCCCCCACTGCAGCCGGGCCTTCGCTGACCGCTCCAACCTGCGCGCCCACCTGCAGACCCACTCAGACGTGAAGAAGTACCAGTGCCCGAGGTGCGCCCGCACCTTCTCCCGCATGTCCCTGCTGCACAAGCACCAGGAGTCGGGCTGCTCGGGTGGCCCCCGCTGAGCCTGCCACCGCCCCAGCTGCCTCCCCCATCCAGGAGGAAGGCGCCCCATCCGTCGCCCCGCCACGGAAGCCGCCGATGCCTGGCTGCGACGCCCCCGTGGACTTTGCAGGCTGCTGACTGGTGTTGCGCCCCGGGGGCCTCATGGGCTTTGAAGGAGGCCTCTCCGGGCCTTCCTGTGGACAGTGGACCGAAGGTGGCCTTGGAGCTGCTTCCTGGGCCTTCCCCAGTTGGCCTCTGGGCTCGTGTCTCCAGAGCTGTGTGGATTCAGCTGCTGAGCAACAGGACAGAGCGGACAGATGGAGCTCCCCCACCCCACTTAGGAGACTGCTCCCCTCCCTGTGCTCCCCACAAGGAACCCTCCACCACCTTCCAGAGGTGTGACTGACTATGCAACAATCCCGCCCCCACGCACATCTGTGGGGCACTGGAGGGCGGCTTCGAACACAAGGATGGACCGGAGGACACTCGAGATGCCCCTGGCCCTGGGCAGCTATTTAGCCTCCTGTTTGTCCTGGTGACACCTGCTTCACGGGCAATTTAACAATGTCTCAAAAGGGACTGTGAGTAATGGCCTTGCCTGTTGGACTGAGTAGGGTGCTTCGGCCTGACCAGTTTGTCTCCCAGAATGTTCCGGGGCCCTGACAGGCAGGCCTACAAGGACGATGTTTACATTTTTAAAGGTACACTGGTGTGTATATTGCAAGTGACATTTTGTATTAAGGAAACATTTTGTATAGTTATATATACAGTTTATTGATATTCAATAAAGGCATTAATTTATATATTACAGAGGCTCTACTTGGTCTTGCGGGTATGGGCATTTTCAGAGGTCTTCAGGAAAGGAAGAGGGCAGGGATTCCTGGAGCTTTGGTATTTCTGACACAGCCTTAAATCTTGTCCTTGGAAATGGCATGTGCTGGAGAGTTGCACTGTCAGGGAACTTGTGCAGATGAGACTCCTGGGCCTCCTGTGGCTCGGAGACCCTTGGCTGCCAGCAAGCCCCTGCACTCCTAGCGCCTCTGATCCCTCCTCTTGCTTTTGCATTTTGTTTTGAATTTTTTAATATTTATTTTTTAGTTTTCGGCGGACACAACATCTTTGTTTGTATGTGGTGCTGAGGATCGAACCCGGGCCGCACGCATGCCAGGCGAGCGCACTACCGCTTGAGCCACATCCCCAGCCCTTGCTTTTGCATTTTGAAGCTGAGCAGGCCCAGAGGGTGCGAGGGGGGCTTCCTGGGTCTTCACCCGCTCAGGCCAGGGAAGGTCTTTGGGGCAGGATTGGCGCCCCTCTCAGCTGGAGAAGAGGATGTCCTTCCTGTTCCCAAGGGCTCTGGGCCCTGCTGGGCCTCCCTGTCAGGCCGCCCACACCTCTGTCTGGCTGCTGGGTACCAAATGGCCTTTGATGCAAGGAAATTGGCTGGCGGGAGCCAGGAGGGTGAGAAGCCAGGCCAAAGGGTAGGGGTCATTCAGCTTCCTGCCTAGAGCATGGGAGGACCTGGGCTGTGGCCTGGGCGGGGGCAATTCACTCCTGGCTGGCTGGCTGGCAGTGGTGACTTCACCTCTGGGGGCCTCCTGGGGCCAGGAGAAAATGAGTGTCCCTTTTGAGCACAAAAGGTGCCGAAGGTGCCAGCTTCCTGCCGGCTGCTGAGCAGGCTCCCGGGGCTTCGCGGCCTGGAGTCAGGCTGGGGGCTGGTGTGGAAGGAGAGATGGTTCTTTCTTCTAAACAGGAAACGGTGACCCGCGGGCCCAGCAGCCTTAATGACTTGCAGCCTTCCTCCCCAAAGGAAAAAAAAGTCCTCTAACAATCGCCAAATTGTGCCGGCCCCCCCCCAGGGGAAGCTGGGGTGAGGTGGGGGCTGGGCATCAGTTGGCTGAAGGCCTACTGTGTCCCAGTCCCTGTGGGTCCCTGTGAGTCACTGTGTCCACCCACAGTAGGTGCTGAGACCGGCAAGTGAACAACTTCACAGTGTCCAAGGGACTGGCCTCTGGGAAAGGAGGCCAGAGCCCCCCAGGCCTGGAAACGCATCAGTCTGGGAGTCAGGAGGGGCTGGCTCTTGTCCCAGTTCCCAGGGTGCCCGTGACAGGCCAGGCTCCCCCCTTCCTGGGGCCACAGTTTTGCCTCCACACAACAGGGTGAGAGCAACCTGCCCCCTGGAGACCATAAAGAGGCGGTCATTCTGTCCTGGGGTGACAGCCGTGAACAGCCGCACAGTCCCCGTGCTCACGGAACCTGAGTTCCAGTTGGGGAGACGGAAAACAAACAAGTGATTCAAAACAAGCTGCTTTGCCACACGGTGCCAGGGGCCAGGAGAGGCCGAGGCTGGAGGATTGGTGGTGGGTGGGGCTGGGGATGAGGCTGTCTCCGGAGCTGGGACCGCTGGGAAGACCTGGGGATGCTCTGGGGCTGGAGGGAGCAAGGCTGGGTGGCTGGGGGGGGAGACGGAGCAGGGGGGCGGTGGGAGTTTTGTCTCAGCGGGCGGGGGGGGGGGGGGCGGGGAAGTGGAAGCAGCTTTACAAGGGGTCTCCTGGCTGCTGGGGAGCAGAGTTTGGGATGGGGAGAAAAGGGACAGAAGCTGGGCACAGTGAGAAGGGGAGGGGGAGGGGTGACAGGTGGCAGTGGCCTGGCCCTGGCCCCGGGGTGGCCTTGGGGATGAGACTGGAGTCGAGCTCACCCAGCTCAGAGCTGGCTCCTGGGAGCCCTGGAAGAGCTGTTTTGGGGATGGGGGGGAGGGGTGGTATCATGAGGTGGCCGGGGGAAGTGCCCCACTGAGCCACATGGCCAGGTGCAAAGAGCCTGCAGCTCCCTCTTGCAGGAGGAGAGGTGGGAGCCCGGTGTCGTCACCGTCACCATCACCCTTGTTTGTATTTGCATTGAACTCTGGAAATTTAAGGGGACATTAATTTAAGGGGACATAAATTTAAGGTGGGTTCCAGGGTTGTAAGAGGTGGAACTGAGATGAAAAGGGACAAGGATTGGAGTCCAGGGAGACTTATTTTTAGATTGTTTAAATGTTTTATTTTAAAATAATTTCAACCTGCCCAAAGTTGCATGGAAAACACACGGAGCTGGCTTCTACGTTCACACTGCCCAGTGTGTTGGAGTTTAGTGTCCCTGTCTTCTCCGTTCACACTCACACACACTCACTCACACACACACTCATACGGATGATGCGGCCTGGGGGGCCTCAAGGCTGCACCCCGGCCCTTATTGCTGAATATTTTTGCATATATTTCCTAGGGACAAGAATGTTTAGAAATTTAAAAAAGAAGAAGAAGAGGAAGATTCTTTTTGATGACCCGGGTCCCCTCTCCACACCAGGGTGTCGTATTGAGGACAGATTTCCCCACTGTCCTGGGGTGTCCTTCGCAGGGGAGCTGGGGATGGAGAGGGCTTGGACCCAGGTCCCAGGAGCATTCCCTGTCCTGTCTCTTGGGCAGCCCCCAGCCTGGCCTGTCTTTGTCCTTCATGTTTTGACACTTGTGAAGGGTCCAGGCCAGCTGTCGCAAGATGGTCCCTTGGTCTGGGCTTTCCTGCTGTTTCCTGTTTCCTCACAATTCAATTTGACAGCACAGGTCTGGCAGACCGCAGAGGCAGGGGTGTCTCTCGCAGGGCAGGGGTCCCCAGGGGGCCGGTGGTCCCTCTGCTGATGTCACCTGGACCACTTGGTCAGGTGCCCTGGCAGATTCTCCCCGCGGAGGCTCCTGGTCCCTCTCCTCACCCACACCTTGTTAGAGGCCCTCAGAGGCCAGGTGGATGCTTCAGCCGTCACCAGGGACGGTGGCCCAGCTCGGGCGAGCGGCTCACTCCGCCGCCCACTCCTCTGGCTGGCTCTCTGGTGGAAGTCGCCCTGTGTCTGGGCAGTGGCCTGGGGCTGTGGCTGGGGGAGAGGCCGGCAGGGAGCTGCTGGGTCTGGCCGGGCCATTAGACCCTCCCCTGGATTTTCTTTAAAACAGAGTCCAGGAAACAAACGGCTGTAAAGCCAGCCTCTGTGTGAGTGTCCAGGCAGGCAGGTCTGGGGCCAGGGCCACCTCTGGGCGCAGCTGGGCCCCATGAGTGACCTAGAGGTGACTCATGGTGTCCCCTGAGCTGGGATGGGGGATTCTAGCAGGCTGGGATCTGGGGTGCCCCGACTCCTCTCTGATTTCGACTTTTTCATTTCATAATGTTACGGGAATTTATTTTCTCATTAAAAAAAATGTAGGACTGGGCATGTGGCTCAAGCGGTAGCCGCTCGCCTGGCATGCGTGTGGCCCAGGTTCGATCCTCAGCACCACATACAAACAGAGATATTATGTCTGCCGAAAACTAAAAAATATAAATATTAAAAAATTCTCTCTCTTTCTCTTTAAAAAAAAAAAAGCAAAGATGGGATATAGAACTCAAGTACCGTGAGCCACTCATGCTCTCCAGCAAGATGTGACAGCACAAAGAGCTTGGTTTGCTTTTGGCAGGGGTCGGGGGTGCCTGGGGATGGGACCCAGGGGTGCTTAACCACTGAGCCACATCCCCAGCCCTTTTTGAATTTTTTGTTTTGAGACAAAGGAGTCTCACTCAGTTGCTTAGGGGCTTGCTAAGTTACTGAGGCCTCCTCGGGATCCTCCTGACTCAGCCTCCACAGTCACAGGCCTCCACACCCAGCCCCTACAGCTTTTCGGATGAAGTAGAGTGAAGTCTGGTCCTTACCCTTGCCTGTTAGCATCTGCTGAGCAGAGGGGTCCATTCTGTCTGTCTTCTAGAAACCCCGCTATGAGGCACAGCCTTTACCAGCTAGGCAAGTGTGGGTGCCTAGTACACAGGAAAACGGCTCAGTCCCAGGCCCCTGGTGGCGGGGTATTCTTGTGGCCCCTGTACACTGGGAGAGGCTAGACCAGGTGTTCCCATGGGCAGGGTGCCCACCAGGCAGGACTGGGTTCAGCCAGACTCCCTCTGCCCCTCTCGGGCCTCGCGCCCTCTCTGACGTCCCAGTTGGGTGATACGTTGGCCTCTTAGGTCGCTCTAACAATACCACGAACTGGCGGCTCAGAGCAACCAAGGGTTTTGCTCACAGTCTTGGAGATCCGAGCCCCAGATCAAGGTGTCCCCAGGGCTGTGCTCCCTGTGAGGCTGGGGTGGGGCCTCCTTGAAGCCTCCAGCCTCTGTGCTTCCTCTTTATGTGTGTCCTCTCCCGGTCCTGTGACACCAGTCATTAGATTTGGGGCCCACCCTCATCCACGGTGACCTCATCAGAACTTGATTGCATTACAAAGATCCTACTTCCAAATAAGGTCACCTTCATAAATTCCTAAGATTGGGACTTGAACAGATTTATTCATTTTTCTCTTACTGGGAATAGAACCCAGGCTGCTCTGCCACTGAACTACACCTCCAGACCCCACGCCCACCCCCAGGGATCGAATCCAGGAGCCCCTAACCACTGAGCCACATCCCCAGCCAGGACCTCACTGAGTTGCTTAGGACCTTGCTAAGTTGCAGAGGCTGGCTTTGAACTCGTGATCCTCCTGCCTCAGCCTCCCGGGCTGATGGGATCATAGGTGTGCGCCACCGCACACCACAGAGACAGATCCTTCTGAGGAACACAATCAGCCCACTACAGGGGGCTGTGTCAGGGTTTCACATCTCCTTCTTGGGGCCTGGGACAGATCCAGGAGTTTTTCCTATTCACTCACCAAACCCTGCGGCCTGAGGAGGGACCCTGAGGAGGAGGCTCAGAGTGAGTCAGAACTTGCCCAGCGGCTCTGGAAGGGAGAGGGCCTCAGGGGAGAGCTCCACCAGCCGTGAGCTCTG